CGCCTCCCACTCGGGCCGCTGCCAGCTGCGCGACGCGAGAAGAGAAGTGCGACTTATTTAATTCCTCAAGTGGGATGAGAAGCGAAACGTGCAACAACTGTCTCGAGGACAGATCCGAGCTACTCCCAACACCGTGCACCGTGCTAATGTATTGTCGCACCTCTCTCAAAACAATTGTTTTCTCTCCCTCTGCACTCTCTTCTCTGTCCTTTTCTCTCCCTCTCTGTCTGTCTCCCTCTCTCCCTCCTTTTTCTCGATCCTCGATACAAATTATCCGTTCCACGTATTCCGGCCGGCGGGGTCGAGCCAGGCCGGCCGGCCATGGGATGGGAGATGCGGCCCGTAAAAGCAGCGCGTGCATGTGTGTGTGCATGTGTGTGTGTGTGTGTGTGTGTGTGTGTGTGTGTGTGTCGGTGTGTGTTCATTACTCTGCTTCAATGTGCCTTGCGTAAACTGACCAGCACACAGCGAACCCGCACCGCGCCCGCCCGCTATTTTTAGATCCTTTTGCGAACTGAAGTCGCACGCCCCGCAAACCGAAGGGAACGACGTGTACAGTATTCCAACAGACCCCCGCGCGAGCAACGAGCCGAGCCAGAGAGGCCAAGCAAAGCAAGCCGCAGGTCAGGTCGACACTCGGGCGGATCAGGCTCGGGGGGTGCATGGTGAAACGGGGTGTGGTGGTGTGGCGGGGCGGGGCAGGCGGGCATATAGCCATGGACCCGCTCCTGCTGCTGTTATAACGCTGTCCGCCCCGCCGTGGGAAGGACCAGGATGATTAAAACATGGCTGCGGCGCGGAGCCGGCTACCTCGCTCCGCGCAGCGGCATTCTTCAGTCCGCCCACACGGCCCGCCTCCCCGCCCTATCCCCGCGCCGTCATTGTGCCGCAGTCTTTGGCTTGGCCTGCGGCCGTATTTAAAAGTTTTACATCCTTTTCAAAAGCTCCCGGCCTCACCTCTTGGCTCTCGCGGTCGCCTTACCCCTGGCGCCTTCTGCTATCCCCCCTAACTCCCGGGCGCCTCACCCTCTCTGTTGCAGCTGTGCTGGCCAAGGTCGTCCAGAGCAAGGAGGAGGACAACTACAGGCGGCGCTACGAGGTCGCCGTCAAGCGGACCTTTAAGGTGAGCACCACCGACTCCGGGTGCGCCAGCCGAGGCAGACTCGCGACACTCTGCCGAGGGGTACCTCATTCGGACTAATAGTGTACAACCTCGAAAAAATCAGAAAACGTGAGAAGAAAATAAATGAAAACCGTGAAAACTCAAATAAAGAGTTAGAAAAATCAGAAAAAACAAGAAAAAATCAGGAAAACAGAAAAATCGGTAAAAACCTGAAGTAAAGTAACCCTCGACTTGACGCTGTGCTTTCCCCACAACAGGGTGGGTCCGAGGCGCGGCTGCTCATCAAGGAGGCCGGCATCGTGGCAGCCTACGTGGAGAGCCTCTGCGGCGTGACCCTGGACGAGGGCGAGACGTATCTGCTCATGGGCCGCGTGTACGACGGCCAGCCGACGGTGACGCTGTGCGACTTCCCGACCGTCTGGCGCAAGGTGACGGTGCGCCAGCGCAAGGGGCTGCGCCAGCAGTACGCAGCCAGTTGCAGCTGTAAGGTGAGCACCCCTCGCCTCCCGTCAACATTCCCCAGGGGGGAGGCTTCGCCTTTCGCCTTCCCATATCGAAAAAGCATTTCCCCGCTCAACAAGTAAAGCCATGGCATCAGGCGTCACGCGCCAAGGCCCAAGGCCGTCCTTCCTTCGCACAGGTGGACTATTCCACCCTTTCAAATATCTGAGGGTCCCCATTCGCTCCGCGAGACCCCCGCGACCCCTCACGCTCCATGTCTGACTCGCCCTCTGCCTTTGTCTCGCAGCCCCGCGACTGCCCCTGGTGGGGCGGCTCGCACCGCGTCGAGAACTGCCTGATCGGGCACTCGGTGTGCACGACGCACCACCAGCAGCAGCGCTGCAACTGGCTGCGCGGCCGCGTACTCGACGACTGCCTGCGCCGCGCCGGTGTCGCCAACGTGGAGGGCGAGCACTCGTGGTGGCTGATGCGGCCGCCCGCCAAGAAGGACGGCAAGCACGACAAGGAGCAGCAGCGCGGCGGCGGCCTCGAGCTCGCCGAGGAGCGGAACAAGGCCCACAAGCACCACCACAAGCACCACCATCCCCACCAGGATGCGACCTCCACGGCGGCGGCCGCGTTGGAGGACGACGAGCCATAGTTCAATGGATGATTCCGGCAACCCCTCCAAAGGAAAGGTGTGTTCCGATAGTAGAGGCATAAGCAAGGGAGAGAAACCAACAAGTTAACCGCTCGCTTAATTGCGTTTTTGCTGATGATCGCTTTCAGGGCTTCCAAAATGACCTTCAAGCGGCGCGTTTTCCTCAAGAGGGTCGCGACATCGTGGCGCTGCCGCCGCCGCTCCGCCGCCGGAGTGCGAGTTGCGTCGGGATAATGGAGTTAAAGGGGCGGCGGTGAGGCGCTGACTTTGTTATCCGAGCCGGCGGAGCAGAGCGGCCGTCGTGACAAGAGCGCCCGCGGCGCCGAGTGAACCGGGGAGGAGACCGGCGGAGACTCGGACAGAAGGAGAGTGCCGAGGCGAGGCGCGGGGGGGAACAACGAACAACGTCTCTCTGCGCTCCAGGCGGGCGCGCACGCTGGGCAGCTCTCAGAAATCGGTACCAATTAACACGAGTAATAATACCTTTCTATTTTTGTACAAATCATTTAGTATGTAAATCGAGTGTAAATACCTAAACTAGGTTCTGATAACCGTCCTGGACATGTAGTAGTAAAAATAGCAACGAAAACAACAACAACGACGATT